GCTGCTGCTCCTGGCGCTGCTGCCCGCGCTGTGCCACGGCAGGGAGCCGGCGCCGGGCGCCGTGACTTGCGGTTCGGTGCTGAAACTGCTCAACACCCGCCACAGCGTGCGGCTCCACTCGCACGAGGTCAAGTACGGCTCCGGTGAGGAGGGCCCAGCCGGCTGGAAAATGGAGGGGCGCGGGTTGTGAGGGGGGCGAGGAAGCGTGGGAGGACAGGCTGTGCCTGGCAAGGAAATGGCGGGGGTGGGCAGGCACTGAGGGTGGTGGGGAAGGTGAGGGATGTTGGAGCTTCTCGGGGTTCCTGTCCTTGGTGCAGGGGGAAGCGGCAGGCCAGGGATGGGGTGGGCTGGAGACACGGCAGGGACAGGGGAATGCTGAGGCCTAGGGGACAGGAAGATGTGTCAGCTGCTCTGCGGGCCCTGCAATCAGGATGTGGCAGGGGTGCTTTGTCCTCGTCCCTGAGGTAATCCCTGCTCAGTTTCAAGGGCCTCCGCAGTACCTTCCCACTGTCTGTTTCTGGCAACCAGGGTGTTGGTCTGCCCGGAAACACCAAGACCTTGATAGTATTTTTGATAAAGGTGGGATGGTGTGAATAGTACCTGTCATGGATCAGAAATTTTTCATGTGTGTTTGCTATGAACTTTGACAGTTTGCATCTGCTAATACATGCTGTTTCACTGCTTCCTTCTGAAAGATTATTTGGTGCCTGCATTCCTGTTGCAGTCAGTAAGTGGGCTGTGAGAATTAAGCAGCTCATAAACATGAAGGCATGACAACATTAAAGCAAATTTCTGTAGTTTTCTTGTGTGTTTTTCAACTGGGGAAGCGGGATAAGTCTTGTGTCATTTAATTCTATTCAAACAGGAAGTGGGCAGCAGTCAGTGACAGGAGTTGAAGCTTCAGATGATGCCAACAGCTACTGGCGGATCCGTGGGAAGAGTGACAGCAGTTGCCAGCGTGGGACACCAGTGAAATGTGGGCAAGCCATACGACTTACCCATGTTAACACTGGGAAAAATCTGCACACTCATCACTTCCCATCACCACTTTCCAATAACCAAGTGAGTCGGTTTAAATCTTAAGCTTTTGTGTAAGTAGTGCATGCTATTGACAATAGTCTCTCCAGTCACTTGGATTTTTGGAGAATCAGGCTTGAGTACCAGCTGCCAGAAGCAGTATGTCTGTGCATATCCAGATTCAAGTATAGGCTTTTCTGCATCTCGAAATTATGTATTTCAGTTCTTGACAAAGGTAATATTTAGTATGTGCCAGAGTTGGTATTTCACAGTACTTTTAACAGATCTGCTTTTTTTTCCTGCACCGTTGCTACTAGGAAGACTGTCCTGAAATGTTTGGTGTTTTCAAGATGCAGGAGATTGAGTATCTCCCTCAACATTGTGAAGATTGTTCTAGAGCCAGGCAACTAATCATGTATTATAACTTTAGGCATTCCTATGTCCATTCCTTGGTGATCCAGTCTCTTAGTCTCAGTTGTCTTCTTGATATCTCCATTTCACTGTTCTTATTTGTCTGTCCCCCTTCCACAGGAAAACTTAATTTGCTCTTGCAATCATATTTATTTATAATTTTGTACATATCTAGAAGAGTGTCATTTCTAACTGTAGTTCAGCCCCAGTCTTGTCCTTGAACATCTACTTCTCCAAGATTGAAAATCTCTCTTAAATATTGCAGTTGTTGGAAGATTTTTGTTGTTAGTCCTGTCAGTCTTCCATCAGGCTATGTTGATAGGTTGTTACATTCAAACTTGGAAGATCTGACTCTTTGTGGAAAAGTTTTTCTTTCACCATGGGTAAAATGGCTGAAACAATAAGGTCCAGCTCTGTGTAGGGTGTCTAGATAACATAATTATTAAAAGAAGTGATGGGAAAATAGCATTTCAAAAGAATTGGGAAGGATTTAGTCTAAAACCTCCCCCCAGGTTTCATTTTTCAGTATAGACATGAACGTCATATGTTGTCATTAAGGTAAGAATGTTCAACTGTCATTGTGGGGTTTTGTTTTGTTTGGGGATTTTTTAGCACTTTTTGCTCAGATTACAGGTTTGAGTTTCTTGGCACTTTGTGTTCAGATTGCAGTGGTTGAACCTTACTGCTTCTGGCTTTGGTAACTGTTGACAAAGCAAAACAACACTTCTTTCCCCATCCTTGTCTTTGAACTCTGCTGAGTCTGTGCTTGTTATTTGTGTGTCCTGGAGGTGTTTGCTTACACTTTCACTTCAGGAAGCTTGTGTCTCTAACAGGAAGTAAGTGCCTTTGGGGATGATGGCGAAGGAGATGACCTGGATTTCTGGATTGTGCAGTGCAGTGGGACTTACTGGGAGCGGGAGGATGCCGTGCGCTTCAAGCACGTGGGGACTGAGGTGTTCCTGTCCATCACGGGGGAGCAGTACGGCCACCCCATTAGAGGCCAGCGGGAAGTTCATGGCATGCCTGCTGCCAACCACCACAACTATTGGAAAGCCATGGAGGGAGTCTTCATCAAACCCAGTCTGGACCCTGCAAAACATGATGAGCTCTGAATTGACACAGGATCCAAAATGCTCCATTTGACTCCAGTGTTCGGAGATGCTAATCCTTGGTCTCTTCTAAGTCCTGCCTTGCCTGAGCGACTGACTTTCTGTTTTACTGAAGGGCATTAGTTCATTCTAGGAATGCAGCACTTCAGTGGTGGATGGCTTCTGCCAGGTTCAGCCACTGACATTTATTTGGTGAAATCCTTTCTGAATTTCCAAGCTTTATTGGTGAAACTAGTTCATACATCTGTTAGGTTTTGTTGTCATTTATTTGCTTGTTACTTTTTCTCAAAATTGAAGGAAATGAGAAAATGAAAGTAGTACTTTCCTCTAGTCTCAATAAAACTTTGTATTTTGTAATCTTTTTCCAGCTGTAATTAAATATTTGGAAACTTTTTTGTTTCCAAAGATTTCTTTGTCCTAGTGAAACAATGTTATTGATAAGGAGATGGATTGAGTCTAGAAATGGAAAAATGGTTCTGAAATATGGTGTTTTTTGAATGCCTTGCAGTCAGCTATTCAGTCTTTAAGTTAAAAAAAAGTATCCATTTGAAAATTGCATCCAATGTCTTATGAGAGTTTCATTCTGTATTATATTGGAAGACTTGGAAATATTGTGTATGTTGGAGTAAGAAGGCAAAATTTTAATATTTTCACTTCATCCAAAAAATTTGGATGTTCTAGTAGTGGTGGTACAGCTGATTGTCCATTGGTAAGGCTGCTCTGCTCTATGAACAGGTGTGGAAAACTGCTGCTTGCTTAATTAATATTAGAATTTTACAAACTTTCTTACGGTGCAAAGGAAGAGTTGAATTTGGCTTACTCCTGTGACACTCTACAAGATCAGTATGACAATCCAGGTGAAAAAATAGTGAGGCATACACCAATGTGGGGTTTTTATGTGTGAACCCAGAAGAATAAA